ACTTCAAACTACCATCACCCCACTGTACGCCATATTCCACCATTTCCACAGAACCCTTTTACGTCTTTGAAACACTCTTCTCTTCCACTCCTCTCGATATCTCTTCCCCTCTGAGAGGCCTGAAGTCACCTAAAGGGCTATTGATAACTATAGTCTAATGATGACTATCATGAAGTCTACCATTTGATACAAAGAAATACTCCACAAAAAACAAAATGAAGAGAAAAACAGGACTTACTTTTGAGATTGTTCACCAGTTCGATAAAGGAAAGCATTCAAAGTAGCCCGCATACCCTCAGAAATTCTCTCCTGCTCTCGTTTTCGTAGGAATGCGTCCGCTTCATCCACAAACAATAAGACACTATGAAGAGGTAAACAAAACATACAAACAAGGTAATAAAGAGTTCTCAGAGTTCATTAGGATGATTGGCCATGTCAATGAATGAATCTCGACTATTATTACTGGGAGGTGATACAAAAGAGTACCTGATTGAGAAATGAAAACAAAGTCATTCAAATTTTGGCTAATTAAATCAATATGACCATAACGATAATAAGATTCAGACTTATTTTCAAATACGGAACTTGAATTGAAGATAGGCACCTACCAAATGCATATTTCAGCCACATTCACGAAACACATCGATGCTACAGGAATATAATTCAGAGTATTGGAGTCGGAATAGAGAAGCGCAACTTAATATTCACTTCAGACAAATGGGGAACCGAATGCGATGCTTCCAGAATGAAAGACGAAAATTTACCATTGCAATCAACTCACCCCTTGCGGCTTGTTTTGGCCCAGTTGAAGACCTTGTGAACTGCAGTGACACCATCCCCACCTAACGGTGCAATATCACCTCCCGTCATAATGGCATAGTCGAGACCAGAATGCGTAGCCAAACTCTATAAGAGTAATAAGAATCCATTATTATTACGACACAATAAGAGCATTGGTCCCAACTTTGAACAAAAATAATGAGGTTACATTCTTTCAATAAAGAGTAAAGATTATAAATGCATAAACAATAATTCTCAAAAAGTTCAATCTAGACATCAATGACAATGAAAGGTAAAATGGGACATTTAGTACACAATGTCCATAACTCGCAGATCAAAAAGAGGACAAATTCGTATGCTTAATCGATATTTAAACTCCAGACCAGAAGCTCAAGAATAGAAATTAAGCCTTCAAAAAGTGGTTTCTATGTCTGCTAACACATCTAGCCTTTAAGTCAAGATGGCTTCGAAGGAATTCTGTAACTTGATTAAAAAGGTTTTAAGATGGAACTGATATCTGATTAGAGCCGGTAAATACGAAAATGGAAAACCAAACCCAAATACAAAAAGAATTCAAACATCTTTTCAAACAGAAGGTTGTCTTAGTGATTACCTTTGGTTTGTCATCTAGAAAATTTTGGCAAGAAGCGAAATTTCATTAGTTAAAAAATAGGATTGAAGAATAAGAATTTAGCAAAAAATACTGTTCAATTACACAAAAAATTAAATGACAAAATTTGGAAAGGTGAAATTCCTAACAGGTCCGACATTAACTGGGAGAAGAGACGTAAATTAACAACTTCCAAGGAATATTAACATGAAATATCGGAAATGAAGATTCGTCAATTTTAGAAGTCAAACTATGATCTAGAGGTTGAGTTTGAAGCACAAATAACAAACCATTAGAAAATTAATTTAGCATGGCAGAATCAATTGCAATATAGGCTTGTCTTCACTAACACACTGGTTCTTTAAACATTTATAAAAATGGAAAACAGGTAAATGATGAAAAGAAAATACCTTAGCGAACATAGTTTTACCAGTACCCGGAGGGCCAGCCATAAGCACATTGCGATAGAAGCCCTTATTGGCCTTCGTGTGCCGAGTTGCAATAGCAATCTTTCGCAAATGGGCCTCGAGTGTTGGCTAAATGGTGAAAAAATTACGTAAAACCCCAAAAAATCAAAACAAACCTCTAAGATTATATTCTTTAAGGGATCACCGGGCTTACTTAGCACCCTCTTAGCCGTCTGGGATTGAATGAAATGTTAGGAAAAGAATGACACGACAAACCTTAATAGGATGTCTAAGTAGATCAACAGTATTCAATCGGGAAGTTTCTCGAACAAGCTTAGGTTTTCCAATACGCGATTCAATGAAACGGGCCATGGTCCCCATGCCGAATTTGGCAGCATAGATACCACCAGCCAATACAGTTGCAGCACCAACAGCTGTGAAGACCTTATTTTTATCAACTAAGAATGCATCGAGTCCAGCTCCAATAACTGAACCGGCGGTTTGAATTGATTGCAGAACTGTTTCACGATGTTCTCTTGCTTCAACTCGTGATCGTTCTAGTCGAATCTGACGATTTTCACGTTCAACTTGAGCTTCTCCACGTAGTCGGGCTTCAATTTGTTTCAGCTCATTTTGATGGCGCAAATTGGCCTCATATTCAATCGTCTCTAAATTTAAGAAAAATAAGTAAAATTATTTCCAGCCTACGCCTTCTAAGAGCCTCCTGTTTCTGAACGGATTCTTCCTGTTTTCGAAGAGTTTCTTCGTGCATTCGGGCCTGTTGGGCCAACTGATCCTCTTGTCTCTTCCTGGCCAACATATCCTGATATTCAACTCGATGCTTTTGAATCCTCGCTTCTTCTTCCAGAGTCTTTCGGCGTTCTTCCTGTTGAATTCGAATTTGCTGGATCTTCAACTGCTCGAGACCAGCTTCATATTCCTTGATTTTCGATTGATATTCCAATTGCTGAGTGTGTTCATTCATACGAGCGAGTTCAAATGCCTCCTTTGCATGTTCTGAAAATAAATTTTACGCAAAATACATACTAGATTTTTCTAATTCTCGAGCAGCTTTTGCAGCTCTCTCAAGAGCTGCAGAGTCGAATTTGAACCCTGATATTGCTTCTTCAATTTTCTTCTTATCATCTTTACTGGGAGGCTGGGGAGGAGGTGGGGGAATACCTCCCTCACCTCCGCTTCCTGAATTTTGTGGTTTCGAATAGCCAAAGAGCCAAGACATATTGCTAACAGAAAAAGCACAACACGTTTTTATTATATCAGGCGGTTGTTTTTCAACTATATAAAGTTTGGGAACAAATGAATATATTTCCAATTTTTCAATACGAAAAACTCCCATTCTTATTTTTCTTTAGTTCCATTATATTTTTTTTAAAATTTATGACCATATTTTCGTAGTTCACCTAATAAAAAATCGCAAGGAACTTGCAAAAAAGGGGTATAGAACAAAGTAATGCCTTCATCAATCGAATACACTGTAAATTATAGATACTTTTGTTAATTGCTAGTTCGCAGTGAATAATTATTTTATATAATTTAAATAATAAATTATTGATGGACAATTCATATAGAACATCTTGCGCATCCACAAATAGCAGCTCTTTCTAATATGAAATAAAAATAAATACTTACCAATTAATTACAATCTCCTAAAATAAATTCACTTGAAGGGAAATTTCCCTGAAGTTCTTACTCATTCGCGACAGTTTCTGTGTTGCTCAATTACAAATTTTAATCTAAAGCCAAAAAAGGAACGTCATAAGCAACTCTAAATAATATATAAATTGAAGCAATTATTCGGTCTAATAAACTAAAAATCGACATTTTGAAAATTAATTTTCCTTTTCCACTGATGTTATTAATTTAGATATTGATAGATACTAAGCTATTCTAAAATCCCATTAAATTGCTGTACAAAAATTAGGAAATACCATCGTGGTTTCAAAATAAACATGAAGCTGAACTAAAAAGTATGCTTTCCAGTTCGAAGGTTTGAAATATATACTCTTTAAGTTTGAATAAATTAGAGTCTTTGTACTTTCAGGTGATATTAAAATTGGTAAAGGTCATATATTTATTTGCCCGTGTTTTGTCTAGGCTCGTGGTCTTTCTGATTTTTAAGTGAATTTTGAAATGAATTTAAATATTTTTAGTTTATTATATTTAATTCTAGATGTCATTTCTTTCAATTTGATAGGTGCTAAATGTTAAATAATACGGTTGGTGATCAAAAACGGATTGGTATGTTCACCAATTTTCAGATTTTTAATTTTCTTAATAAAAATGACCTCTCCGACTACCTGAATCTATATTTCTTAGTAAACTCTTTATTCCGTATATATATATATATATATATATATATATATATATATATGGCAGATTTTATGGTATTTATCATTATCTTCTTATCTGGCTTCGGTTTTCACAAGGGAAGGGAGCATATATAGCAGTTAATTATTATCAGTTCATTGGTTGTCTTCTGGCTCCCCAGTATATCCAGTTTTCCATCTTTGTCTTTTGGATTGGACACTAAATCAGTCGGTTCTTCTCAATTTCCCCCTGTACGTCATATAGGGTCGTGTTGGTTGAGTGTATACTCAATCTGTAAAGGTGCTTCGCAAGGGAATCGTGTCCGATACGTAGTCTAAACTCAGCAACGGTTTCGATTCTTGACCAATCGCCTATGTCGGCGCTTGCCACTGTCCACTGTTTCTCCTTTGTTCGAGCTTTAAGTTCGTTGCACCTTAAGGTCATGAATTCTCTCCTGATTAAGGCCTTCATTGTGTGGAAAGACATCGGCCGGTCTATGTCTTGCAAAATCGTTGTCCCCTTCTTAGCAAGTGTGTCAGCAAGCTCATTGCCTTTAATGCCACAATGACCAGGAATCAATTGTAGGACCACTGTTTTGTTTTTTACATTCGTATATCTCAGCTGTATTGGGTGGCTCTCTTTTTCTAATTGAGTTTTTTGCTGACTGTGAGTCCGAAAGTATCACTGCTTTGATGAATTTGGCTAGTGCTGTCCTAATGGCCTCTATTTCTCCTTCGAAAGCGGATCTATTGAATGGCCTCTATTTCTCCTTCAAAAGCGGATCTATTGTGTTCTGCTGCTGCCTTTCGTATCCAGGCAACATAATTGGCTTAGTGCTGTCCTAATGGCCTCTATTTCTCCTTCGAAAGCGGATCTACTGTGTCCCACTGTTGCGTAGAAAGAGTAGAGTTCAGAGTAGACACCCGCACCAACGTGAAGACTTGAAGCTATTGATCTGTAGGATAGTTGACATTGATTGTCTCAAGGGCCAGTGGGCGCATTTGTTCTGGAGGGGTGTGTGCCTTCCTGAAGTAGTCAAGCAGTTGGGTGCAACACTACATCAGTGTCTGCTAATGGGTTGATGGGTAGAGAGAGGCTTTTTGGTTTGACATTGATTTGTAGTGCTTTCTTCAGTTCTCTGGCTTTCTGTGTTAGACCAGATTACATTTTCAGGTGTCAAGGTCTATTTTTGTAGGTGCTGAAGAATTTATTCATGGGAATGTGTAGTAGCTTCTCATACAGGATCAAGGCCTTCCTTTTGAAAAGGGAACATATTGTGGTGCTCCCTTCAACAAGTAGCGTTGCATCAATGGGTGTTGATTTTATCCCTCCAGTAATTCGTCGTGAAGCCTGGTTGTGTGCCTTCTCAGGTGGTGCTCTGTGGCTGTAATGAGTGGTTCACAGCAATACAACATTATTGGTTGAAAAAACATCTTGTAAGTGGTGTTAAGGGTTGAGTGTGCACAGCCCCATATGCTACCAGCTAGACGCTTCAGATCGTTCAGTGTATTGGAGACTCGTTCTGCTATTTTAGCAACCGTTCAGTCTATTGGAGACTCGTTCTGCTATTTTAGCAATGTTCTTTTCCACGTTAGCTTTGTGTCAAACGTCATTCCGAGATTTCCGTTCCATGTTAGCTTTGTGTCAAACGTCATTCCGAGATAAGTGAATTCGTTGACTTTTTCTAGAGAAGCATCCCTGACCCTTAAATGCGGGTTTATACTGTGACGGGCAATGAAAATGTATGGAATGCGGTTTTTTCTGTGTTGATAACCATACCATTGTTGTGGTACAAGTTTGCTGATAGTTTGAGTGCAAATGTTAGGACACTTTCCGTCCTCTCCTGAGCGTTTTTCCTAGGGGCTGAATACCGTAGAACAAGATCATCTTCAAAAATTAAGAACTTGGTGCCCGTAACTGTGTGTACTAATTCGGCTATGTCATTGATGAAGACATTGACAAGAGTGCAGCCAATGACGGCTTCCTTTGGGAGGCCTGTTTGTAAAAACATGATTTGGACAGACCGTTTCCATATCTGACTTTTCATGATCTTTGTCCAATGAATGCCATCTGACTTTACATGATCTTTGTCCAATGAATGCTTTTATTCAATGACTTTTCATGATCTTTGTCCAATGAATGCTTTTATCCAGTTTATCATGTTAAGCCTTATACCAATCTTCGCCAAGTTTAGAATTAGATTCTCTTTTCATGCTAAGTCATGCGCTGATTTGAAATCGACGAATACAGCCGTGCGTGCATTTCTTCCATCAAGGGCATCTTTGGTATGTTGGGAGAAAGCGCTACTTGTTGATTAATTGATCCTTGTGGCCTAAAAGCTGCTTGTTTGTTTCTAAGAATATTGTTGGTCTCAAGGAACCAGGTCAGCCTCCTGTTAACCATTCTTTCCATAAGTTTAGCCGGCACGCTTGTGAGGGAGATAGGCCTATAGTTGTGAAAGTTGCTAGGGTCTTTACCTTTTTTAGTATTGGTATTACTATGGCAAATTTCCATTGGTAAGGTACGAGACTGGTCTTCCAGAATTTGTTGTAAAGGGTT